CCTGACCCACGCTGCCAGAGGGGCTCCCCCGGACAGTGCCTGACCCATGCTGGGTCCTTCTCCCCAAGCACGTCAGCAGCCACGATGGGGCTGGTGCAGGAGCTGACAGATGTTCATCACTCATTCCTGGACCCTGCCTTACCCAGTCTCATGTAAATTTTAAAAGAAAAACATGGAAGGAACAGGAGCTGATTGCTTGTAAAACAAAGCTATTAAGGATTATATTTCTAGGACATCATCAAAGGCAGCTTGAAGAAAACCTGAAATGTTGGATATGAAGTCAAAGAGGAAGGGTCACGGGCAAGCCAATGCCTCCCTCAAGACCACGTTACCAGGGCAGAGAACTATAAGCAGGGAAAGCTGGTGGGCAGAGGAACGGGGGTGGGGGTGGGGTGCCAGGAGACACCGCAATTCTCCCCGGGGGACAGGCCTCCCCGGGGGACAGGCCGGGGCGGCTGCGGTGACAGATGCTGTCCCAGGTGCAGCTTCTTCCTGAGGAACCACATCGGTTGCTCTAGCCAGAGCCCACCTTCAACTTGGATCAGGGTCTTGGCCTTAAAAGGCCATGTGTGTTTCATGGATCCTGTCCAGGTCGTTTGGGGCACGGAGTCACTGTCTTTCACCTGGTACACGCGCAGGCCACTGGTGGATCTCTCGGAGAGAACGATGAAAACAACGAAAATCAGACTTGGCATCCTCTGCTGTACTACAGGGCAGGGGCAGGGAGGGTGGAGAAGTGGGTGTGGGGTCCACACTCCAGCACGCGTACTTGCTACATACGGGATGGAAGGATCATTTCCACCCCGCCCTGCATGGTCACTCACAGGCTGGAAACAGGCATGGAAAATGAATTTGAACAATTTAATTACAGATGAAGTAATTAGTATTTGAAATTTAAAATCAGGGGTTTTGAAAAGTACTCATTTAGTTGTTTGGAAAGAAAGTGATCACAAAGGGAATGAAATGTCTGCTGACAGAGGGCGTGAGCAGCAGGGCCAGCCACCTGGGCATTCACAGACCACCGAAGGCACGACAAAATTAAAGAACAGGAAAGACGCGCGGAAGATCTTAGTGTCCTCAAAGTTTCAAGTTTAAAAAAACCCCCACACAATTAAAGGGTTAAAGTAAAAGCTCATTTTTCAAAAGAATGTCAAGTGAGCTCTTCAAATCCTCACAAGCTGCCATTTGATATGGAAGTAATTTATCCCTCACGGCTATCACAGTGAGAAATACCAAACAGTGAAACTTACAAAAATGAAAATGACATCCTTCCTTCATTCATTCTGTTTAAGGATTTCATGGTTTACTTTTTAGAAGAGTAAACAGTATCCTAAAGTAGATCCCACTCATTAGACCGCTAAGAACGATGTTTTTGTTTATTCACTTTAAAAGTCTCGCTGCCTCTTTTCAAACAACTGTACTCTGAAGGGTACCCAGCTTCTGGGGTGCTGGACCTTCTTCCGTTTACCTAGGCCACTAGAATAAGGATGTGCTGAGAAAATTGTAATTATCAGTGTCAGCAAATTTAACATTGATATATCACTTTTATGTAAACTACCATTTATGTTCCACTTTTGTGAAATGACCCAATAATGTCCTTGGGTAGCATCTAATCCTGGCTTGAGAGATCAGGGTCCTCAGTAACTGCTTCCTGCTGCCCGGAATGCACCCAAGTTCACAGGGACTTCGCTTCTGTGCCTTCCCATGCCTCCTTGCTCAACGATGCTTCCATGAAAAACATTTACGTAATGGCTTTTAAAGGGAGGGCAGCACT